GCCGGCCAGATCTAATAGTAATTAGAAATTATCCTGTGGGCCGAAATTAAATCCACCAAGGGCCTGATTTGGCCCCCGGGCCTTGAGTTTGACACATGTGATTTACATGATCCTTTCTCATGGTCAATTCCTCAGATTTATTCCCTAAAATGTCTGTCACCATATTAGGACAAATTAAAGGGGCCCTAGTATGCTTTTTGGGGTATTCCCTGTCCTGTATTGTGTGATATAGGTTTTCTGTGCAGGTAAATAGTTAGCAAAGGTTAAAATCCTAGGAGGAGTTAAGACTCCTATCCTAAAATTCATGACTGACAAACTAATTTAGATATGAAGATTATGAAATGCATCTGGTTAACACTATATTGGTGTTGGTAATTAATTGAAAGGGAGTCCTCTTTGAATTTCTTTTGAGATAAATTCAGATGTTGGCGATTTTGCATTTGTTTTTACAGTTTCCAGCGACCTTTAACTTAAATGCTTCCAAATTGATACTTTGAATGAAAAAAATGTGCAACAAAATTCCGAAATGAAATAAGTGAAAGAGACATTTTTTTTATTCAAAGTCAGGTAAAGTCTTATTACAAAATCACTTATAAAGTTCAGATCAAAGTGTAAAACTGACCTTGCTTTGGCTTAACAAATGACTGCATTAAGGGCAGCATCTAAACTTTTTATTAGAGGTTTCCTGATTAGTTTCTCTGCTACAGGAAGATTAAGCACACTTACTAACTCACCACTTCAACGGAAATGTGATTAGAATTCCAGCTGAATTAAGTTTAATAACCTTAAGGTGAGTGCACTTTATTTAAAGGGGACCTATCATGGAAAATGCACTTTGTGATGTATTTTATACATATATATGTGTCCCCGGTGCGTCGGGGAACTCACGCAGCGTCAGAAAATAAAACCCTCTCTCTTTTCCTCCGTACCCAAATCTTTTAAAAACAGGGGTACAACGAGCGGACCCACCGAAAATTGCTATCAGAAACAATGCCTGACGTGTTTTGGACGTAATCTCGTCTTTGTTTACATTAGCAAGCCTCGCTAACACTCAGAGCTAACCTGTACTGGATAGAGCACATGTGTTTAAAAAGCAGGAAATAAAAAAAGGAACTCACCTTGTGGTAAACCTGCAAGAGAAAAAGCATTTGAGCTCCATACTGTTTCAGAAATAATCTTTGATGTGGTTTAGAACAGGATGGCGTTTTATCACAGCAGAATTTAACTTTATCTCCGGTAGAATTCTGATCAGGCATTAGCTCCGCCTCCTCTTTTTTTTTTTTTTTTTAAGCGAAGGACCCAAAATCCGCGTTTCTCTAACAGGGCTGCAAAAGAGGTGTATGAGCAGTATGAGGCAAGGCTACAATGGGTGATCTGTTTGGTATTTTAAGCAAAAAACTTCACAGACATGTTTTGTATAGGTATAGCCCTACAATATATGTTTCCAATATAGCATAATAGGTCCACTTTAAGATGTGGTGTCTATAAAGAAGGTGACTAAAGGGTGGATATTAACCTTTTGAAAATATATTAATTGAGTATTTCGCAACGTTTGTAAGAGTCTATAATACAAATACAAAAGCGCTCTTTTTTTTTACTTGGTGAAAATAACTTTAGATAGAGAAAGCTTGAGAGTCCTATCACAGAAGGCTGAGTCCAAAATGGATCACAACTGCATGAACTGCCACTTGCGAGTAGTATATGATAAATCATACACACATATTGGACCCAAGAATGGTTGAAGTATTTCCAAAGGTATGGTGACTTATTTTTGAGTTCCATACTACTTTTTGCCTGAAGTCATAGAAATATGAATAGTGGCTGGCATGGATGCCAAGATGAAACCAGAAAGGCAAAATATTATATTTTTGACAAAAACGTCATCATCCCTTCATAATGATGACATAATGATGACGTTTTGTGCTTTGTCATGGTGCAGAGGAGGACTGGACAGGGTAAAGGAGTAAAAACCTTTATCCATCTCGGCACATTAGGATTCAGTTCAGGTTGTAAATGATGGATGTTATACGCCGGACTATGTCTTGGTCAGGGCCGTAGAGATTGGGACCAGTACGTTCCTGTAGCCTCACTGGATTGGAACACTTCGCAGACCGGAAACCAAATTGTTCATACAGAGAAAATTTCAAAAATGTGGTCGAAGTTAAGTAGTGTTTTTATTTAAATGTATGTTATGTCAAAGCAAAAACTTCAATTAGGTTGAATTGGTTCAAGTTGTTTTATTTTGGTCAAAGCTGCGGTTTGGATGGTGGCAGAGATTTCTTTGATAAGCTTTTAACTTGCTTAAAATGAATGCATGAATACACTTTTTGAGACAATCTCTTTGTCTAATGTTAACATTTAGACAATCAAATGCAGACATTTTAACCTATTTAACATTAATGCTAATTTTAGATCAAAGACAATCCCTAAGAACTTTAATTTGATTATTATCAGCACAAGTATGGTATTTAATGTTATTGTTTTGAAAAATCATGTCTTATCAGTAGCATTTTTAGATCAAACAAAAGGGTGCCAAGCAGGGTTTCCTGTGGTACTCCACAGGTCATACCTGTGGAAATAACATATTTATTTATTTAAAGTTAGACCTGAACCAGTCAGGACAGTACACGCAAGCCTAACCCAGTTCACAACAATAGGCAACTGTGTCAAACAGGCAGTTAAATTGATTAATACCAATCATTTGTGATATACTGATAGGGATTGCAAAATGCAAGTCATAAACTAACTGTGGGGGAAACTTCTGCAGCAATTGGAGACAGGACTCAGAGAGATACGAGGAGAGCTGGAGCTTTGATGGCAAACACTGACGGTTTATTTGGAGCTTCGGCCGGAGAATTCACAAGACATATCACGGGCCACGATCTGACCACACGGTTGAGATGCCAAACCAATTCTAAAGAACTATTCTGTAGTTCCAGGTTTTAACTAGTTCAGAGCGTAATAATCAACATTCTTTATCAGCGAGATTAAACAAATATGGACCCTGAATCTAACTGGAGCTGTTGTCCATAGAAAAGAATGTGCGCCAGGGAACCTACGTTCCAGAAAAGAAGATGTCCCTGAACAATAAACTATCTCATCGCGGCTTGTGCTCGGTCATAGACTGGCAACAACAATGCGCCCAAGCTGCCCCTCCTTAAGAGAGATGGCAGCAATACCCAAGGCCGTAGACCTATGCCATGGGACAGGAGACAGTGAAAGGAGAAAACTATGAACTGTGTCAAAGGTTGAATACCTAAGCAAATGATTCCCTAACACTAACCTGCATACATTGTATAGCATTAGAGTAATAATACTTTAGTGATAGTGATGCTGCTGAGTTTTTACAAATGCTTCAATTAAGTATGTCTTCGATTCACTTTGAAATGAAATGCCACAAACACAAATCATAATGCAGAATACTTGCTCAGTGAAGAGAGTCATGGGGATTTTTGCTTTAGAGATTTAACAATTTGCAATTTTCTGTAGAATAGAGACTCGAAAATGGAGCAGTGGAGCTGGGCATCAATCCTCCTCTCAGTAATGTAAAGCTAATTCAGATTTTGAAAAATGAACAGGCAGAGCCTGCTTAGATTATTCATGAAATATGTGTGGGATAAAGATAAAGAAGTGTGATAATTTAGTTGTATACAGGTTATTTAATCTAGGACATGTTAAAAAAAACTTTAATACATGGATAGTTATCAAACTCATTTCATAAAGAACAGCCTAGATTCTCATAAGGTATGAATATGTATGCAACCTGCAAGCTGTGGACTCTACATTTGCAACAGTTGAGTGATGTTGTTTTTCTTTTTTGAAACACAAATAACAGAACTCAATATTTAATTTGACTGCATGTTGTGTAAAGAAAACCGACACATGTGTGACAGGTTGAAAAAAAACAAGTATAAAACAGAGTAATCCCACAGTGACCAGGTGCCGAAGCCTGCAGATAGTGTAAATGCAATCTCAGCCTCTCAGTGTCATAGAGGTGATCTCTTAAGATACAGGTCTGTATTTGTTTGTTTGGCTATAAGACTGGTGCTGAACTTCACTTGATCTTTCTTTGTATGCCGTCACCGAACCAAATGATTTGCATACAAGTACACGATTGGCCAAACACCAATTTCTTTAAATGGGATTAAAATATACATTAGTGATGACCACAATTCATGAATGACAGCTCACGGTCACTCTCTGCTGCGCTATGGCCAAATAAAAGTCCTATATGAGACACATGCCGTAAAATGACATGACTGACTGAATCTTGTGTATTCGTAAAAAAAACCTGATGAATATTTCTTGTGAGAAATATGCAGTATGCATCAATAGACACATTTGATTTGAGTTTGAGTATGTTGGTAAGATAATTAGGCAGGTGTACAGTAAGTGGTCGAAAACAAGTGTCACTAGATGAGTTCTTTTCAATTTGGCATGAATCACCAAAGCAGTAGTTTGATCTAAATGATTATCCCACTGAGTGGAACAATTATAACTTGAACTGGGGGTTACAAATAGGTGTAGCGTCTAGTCAGAATGTTATGGTTATTGTCCTTGAATTTGTTGCACTATTTGTAGTTGGTATCAAGGTAAAATGGTCGTTAAAATGTCAAACTAAAATAAAAAGTAACTCAAATATAATTGGGCCACAGAGATGCTCTGGATAAAAAAAAAAGCCTTCCTCAGACCTTCTATGAAAATAAATAATACTTCTGCAACAATTATCATTCCTTCCAGTACACTGAATCATATTGTTATTGCAAGATCAGCCAAAAATACCTTCTAGCCCTAATCTCTACCAAAATGATATTGGTCTCTAGCTCCAACATCTATCGGGACATCTGTTCTTTTGATTTATGAGACACTTAGCAGATGAACAGACAAGATGAATACAATGCCTCTTTAGACAGAAGCAACATATTAATGTTGTCGGCTCTGTACTCTAACCACAAAACACATTGTTTTTGCTCTAACAGCACTTTTGTTTTCTTCAACAGTCTCCATTGAGGAGCATTGGCAGTGAGTGGTCGCTGTCGGAGCTGGACGTGTTGCTGCTGGCCGGCACGGTGGGACACACTCTCAGCCTGGCGGCCAGCAGCTTCGTGGAGGAAGAGCACCAAACCTGGTACTTCCTGCTCAACACCCTCTGCCTTGCCGTCTTCCAGGACGTCTGCCGCAAGTACTTCAGAGAGCAGAGGGGCACTGGAGACGAAGAAGAGTCTATCCTCCCTTCCAAAGACTGTCACCCCTCTCCCAAGGCAGAGATTTACTCAGAGAAGTGGCTAGCGTTAGCCACACCGCCATTCACTCTGCTCTGCTGCCGACTGCTGCGCTCCCTCAACCAGACCGGGGTGCAGTGGGCTCATCTTCCTGACATGGGACACTGGCTCAACAGGTAGGGTTTACTGTTCCTCTTTAATTAATCATTCAAAAATAGATTAAAACATGAGTCATTTTTTTTCATTTTTTTTTTGCCAGTTACTCCTCATGTCTGGTCATGATAGTGGTGTTTTTAACAATCCCCACTCCTTGCGTCAGCCAATACTTTAGCCTCTTAGCAAATGCTTTATTCACACAGGTAGTCTCACTGACATCAACACCTCTATTTCAAAATGAAGCTGGGCAAAAGAAATCAAATATAGTATGGCCATGATAATTCAAAACAAATACCTCTGGTCACAAGATGAAATCCATTTTAAAAGGACATTCCAATTCCTTTAGAACAGAAAAGGCTTCAAATCAAATCAAGTTTTATTTATATAGCACATTTATAAACGATTTTGTGCTGTACATAAAATAAAAATAGCCTACAGTAGAGACACTTTACAGCAAATACAACAGCACAGATTGTTCAGAATATCAGTATGAGAAAAACGACACCCTCTATCCTTAGACCCTCACATCGTACAAGGAAAAACTTCCAGAGAAAACCCACAGTTTAAGGGGAAAAATTGGGAGAAACCTCAGGGAGAGCAGCAGAGGAGGGATCCCTCTCCCAGGACGGACAGACGTGCAATAGATGCCGTGTGTAAATCGAAGTGATAATACATTTTACAGCATATAGACCAGGGGTGCCCAACCAGTCGATCGCGGGGAGATTCCCGGTCGATCGCGAGATGTGTCTAAAAATAGAACAACAATATTCTGTTTTATCGTTAATGTCCTGTAACATAATCTTCCTGTGCCAGAATAATGCACTTGAACGCATCAAAGCTTTGTGATTGGCCGGCGTGACCCCATGTGTCGGGGCGTGGCTGGTGAGCAGTGTGGGCAGTGTGCACTAGTTCGCTAACGTTGTCCGTGTCATCAGGAGTGACAGTCCGCACACACACAAGACTGCAATTATGGCAGAAGCAAAACATATATAATTTTCACTCCGAGTGGGAGGATGATTATTTTTGTATCTATTCCAATTCAAAGTCCATCTGTCTCATCTGCAATGCGAGCGTGGCTTTATCGAAGAAGGGTAATTTAGGAGCGGCATTTCAAAACAGTGCACAAACGCTACGAGACGGAATTCCCTCCTAATTCTGCCCTACGCTCCCAAAAGGGGAGGGGCCTGAAAGGACAGCTAAATGCACAGCAGTCCATTTTCACCAGGCCCAACAACAAGAGCAAGGCTGCTACCAGAGCATCTTATCGTGTCAGTCACGTTCTTGAGAAACACATGAAGTCTTTCTAAGACGGCGAAGTTGTGAAAGAAGCATTCCTGGAGGCTGCCGACGCGCTTTTGGGGGACAGTAAAAATAACAGTAGCATTTCAACAGGTTTTTGATATAATAAAAACTCAAGTTAGATACGGTTATTAATCTGCTGTAAGTTTTAGTTTGTTTGAACTTATTCATTATAATTATTGTACAAAATGGTATAAGAATGCAAACTTAAAGTGATTATAGTCTATTATCAATTCAGGTTAAGAAACTAGTGTTGCTTGCATCCTATTTTAAAGGCATTTATTTTTATACTCTACTAAAATGCAACAAGAAAAGGGTTTGATTATATTAAAAAAAAAAGTCTTTTTTATTGCACTTTGGCAGCAGATTCCTGTGTAGCTTCAGATCTGTAAGCCTAATTTATACTTTTGTAGCAACACTATTTTTATATAATGGCAAAGAAAGGGTTCAGAGTCTTTTATTTTTTCCCTGTGTCATATGTGGCAGCACTGTTCAATGTTTCTTGAAAACATTACCCACTGTAGTGACGTGTGAATAAACTCCAACTCTGTATCAACAACACTGTTGTGTAGCTTCAGTTAAATACTTGTATGTGTGTAGATTAGAAAGAGGTAAGATAAAGGATCTGCAGTATTTTATGAAGTATTAATCGTACAAAGGTCAGTTTTATACAAGTAGAAGTGTGTATTTACCTGGTAGTAGGCTGTCAGTAATGGCTACGCCTCTCTATTTGGACTGGTAGATCTCGGCAGACTGGCAACTTTAAAAGTAGCTCTCGGTTCAAAAAAGGTTGGGCACCCCTGATATAGACCGAATGTTAGGAAATGCATGTGTCTGTAATAAGAAGATGAATCCACGAGGATGTCAGCTACAATCCTGTGGAAGCCATCAAGACAGGACCGCAGAGACAAGTTCAGCCACGACCCGAAGTCCACGACTTAATCCAGAACTCAGGATAGAGGATCCAAGACACAGGACTACAGCAAGAGGATCAGCCTCGACTCCGGATCCCGGCGTAGATATAGATACACAACAAGAAAAAAGATTTGGCTGGGTTAATCGGAACAAGAGAATACACAGACACAGACAGAGAGGGAAAAGGTCATTGGATAAAAGTTATTCTTGATAACCCTCTAGAAAGATCTCATGAACTTCCCCACTCAATCTATCAAGACCCGAGCAGTTCTATTAGATATAGGATAAGAAACCGAGATAGGGAGCACAACAACCTATCTCTTCGTCAGATGCACTCCCCCGCTTATCTAAGCGACTCTGTACCCCGTTACCCTTTACAAGGCCATAGACCAGCAGAGGGAAAATGGGGGGTGGGTAAGGGTAAGGATTTGTAAGAATAAATCGCAAGGGTCTAAAGCAGGGGTGGGGAACCTGCGGCCCCCGGGCCGTATACGGCCCGCGAGACAATATATAAACACACGCAATAAAGAAAAAAATTAAAGAAATCTAGACCGCAAAATAATTAAACAAGCGAGTCCCTGTTTTTCCTAGCCATGGTCAGGGTCCTTGAATACAACACGAGCCTAACGTGTCATCACGTGGTATATGTCTCGTCTGACAGGGGTGTAGTTCTGACGGAGAGCACCAGAACGCGGCTCCGGCACTTCCAAAAATTGCAGTACCCATGAGGAGCCGTACACATGCCGCAGTTTTTGCGTGGCTGTGTCTTAGTTGAAAGCCCAGTGGCGATCTGTTCATCCGTCATACTGATCATACAGACAGTCAATAACTTTGTTGTTATTAGCATCTGGTTAGCTCGCTATGCTAACGAATATAAGAAGCTTTTTCTCCAACCAGTGAGGTAAATGCACATCTTTATATGATCATTATAGTTATAAAAAAATAAGAGAATAAAGTAAACAGGTATAAAATACTATATGACAGTAAAGTCATATTGTTATTAATAAACAAGAATACAGTTTGAAAGGGGAGTGATTTGTAAAATATCCATAAAGAAAAAGAAATCAGTTGACAGTTCTGTTTCATATGGGTGTTGAGAGATGTGTCCATAGATCTCCTAATTTTGCTCTCAAAGTGCACCAGATTGATGCTTTTAACTTCAACATTTAAAAAATAATCTTCCTGGGGGAGCATGCCCCCTGGACCCCCCTAGAGGAGATTAAGTCCCCCCCCCACTTAAATCATGTCCACATGGACAGGAAACTAAATACATTTGCACACATCTTGTGTCCAAATCTTTCTGTTTTGGTGGTCATGCCACACCGTGCACGTGCATGCATGCGTGAGTCATGGCAAGATATCTGGATTGAGAGGTTGCTTTTTCTTTGCACAGCATGAAAGAAAGGCCGAATGAATGGGCTGTGATTTTAGTATTTTTAAGCAGAGGACAATAATTTGTACGGCCCTCGGAGGATGTTGGAAAAATTGAAATGGCCCTTGAGAGGAAAAAGGTTCCCCACCCCTGGTCTAAAGGGAAAAAAAAGATGAAATATAAGGTACTATATTTTAAGTAATCCTATCTACTATTCCTATATTTGAATAATGTATAAACTATTTAAAAAATACTTTATGAAATCCTATGTTATGTTATAAATATTAAAATAAATGAATAAATAAATAGATAATTAAACAAAAGCCAGAGAGAAAAAGTGAGTTTTAAGTGTTGATTTAAAACCCCCCAGGGTCTGGGCCGACCTCACATGGAGGGGCAAAGTATTCCAGAGCCTAGGGCCAGCCGCTGCGAAAGCTCGATGCCTGGTCTTAGGCACTATCAACAACAGCTGATCAGCCGACCTTAAGGCTCTGCCTGGGGTGTAGCGATGGAGGAGTTCGGCTATATAGGCAGGAGCCAGCCCATTTAGGGCTTTAAAAATAAATAAAAGGAGTTTAAAATCTATTCTGAACCGAACTGGAAGCCAGTGCAATGAAGCCAGAATTGGGGTGATATGGTCGCGCTTTTTATGGCCAGTGAGAAGACGTGCAGCTGCATTCTGAACTAGCTGGAGGCGTCTAATTGAGGCCTGATCCATACCCACATACAGAGCATTGCAGTAATCCAGTCTCGAGGTAACAAAGGCGTTAATAACCTAGGTCTTTAAAAGATAAAAATGACTTGGTCTTAGCCAATAGTCGTATTTTGAAAAAGCAGGTCTTGACTACAGTGCTAACCTGCTTATCAAATTTAAAGGCGCTGTTGAAGGTCACTCCAAGGTTCATAACAGAGGGGAGGATATTTTTATTGAGGGAGCCCAGAATATCAACCGGGGAGACTGTTGGTTGGGGTCCAAAGAAAAATACTCTCATTAAGGGTGAGGAAGTTTTGACTCAGCCAGGATTTAATCTCTGTTAAGCAGTCCTTCAACTGCTGTAATGAGTTGGCATTTTGATTGAGAGGCAGAGATATCTGTACATCATCAGCGTAACAATGGAAGGGGATATTATGTTTTGTGATAATTGAACCTAGGGGCAGTATGTACAATAGAAAAAGGATGGGGCCCAGAATCGAGCCTTGGGGAACCCCACAGGTAAGAGGGGCTTTGGCAGAGGAGAAGACACCTAACTGCACTGAGAAGCTACGGTCCGTCAGGTAAGACCTGAACCATGCAAGGGCAGAGCCTGTAATGCCTGCGGACTGTTCAAGCCGTGACAACAGGATACTATGATCCACAGTGTCAAAGGCAGCAGTTAAATCTAACAGCACCAAAACAGCTGGGCTACCTGAATCGGCGGCTAAGAGCAGATCATTAAAAACTCTTAAAAGGGCAGTACTGTGCATAGGTTTAAAGCCAGACTGAAATTTTGCATGGATACCATGCGTGGTTAAAAATGACTGCAACTGGGCGTAGACTACTCGCTCCAGGGCTTTAGATAAAAAGGGTAGCTGGGAGATGGGCCTGAAATTTGCGAGAATGGAGGGATCGAGATTTTTCTTTTTAAGTAGTGGCTTAACCACGGCATGTTTGAAGGCAGCTGGGACACATCCTGAGCTAAGAGAAGTGTTTACTTTACAAGCAATAAAACACTTGCTCCAACTGATTCAAAAACATCTCAAAGGAAGCGAGAGGGAATGCTGTCTAAGGTGCAGTTTGTCGGCCGCAGGTGCTTGACTACTTCCGAGAGAGAAGAGAGGGATACAGGCTCAAAATGGTCGAGGACAGCAGGGCACAGAAAGGGAGCAGGATCTGGGGTAGCACTAGTATAGGCTAGCCTAAGAGCAGATACTTTTTCGATAACAAATTTAAGAAATGTATCGCAGAGAGTAGTTGATGGCACAATTGGAGAAGCATCACAAGGATTAATGATCGAATTGAGGACATTAAAAAAGGACATTCTTAATTTCACTGAAGACTACGTCACAGAACGGAAGCATAAGACAATCATGAAAGTATAATATAAAATATTTAAGTATAAAGAGATGTTTGTATTAGAAATCTATTTCTATTTGTGAGGAGGAGTTATTAAATCCAGTTTTCCAAGTGTTGTTTGAATATATGGTAAAGTTCAAATGTGTTAAAAATGGATTTAATTAGAGAGCATAGATTAGGTTCTGTTAGCTAGGCTTATTGAACCAAACTAGTTTAACAGTGCTACACAGCTGGCAAGCTAAGTTGGCTTGTAAAAGTTGGATGTTTTGAGGAGGCAGCAAAGCAGAAAGAATAGTGTTAACAGCAGCAGCTACCTGGCTGATTTTGAATTACTCTTGGCAGCTATGTAATTACTGAGATGATCCCCAGGGAAAAGACACACTCTATGAATAGCAAAAATATCGAGTGGTTTGTTTCTCTATTTCTCTTTAGTACCTTTAAAGTAATGGAGTTCCCTTTAAACAACACAAAAGAGCTGGATTTATAGAGTGATTATATTAGTGTTCAGACGCTTATCTTGAAGTATATTGGACATAAAACCCATAAGACAAGGCAGAATTATTAGCCTTTTTCATGCGGATAGGTGGGAACATATAGGTGACAGAAAAATATAAGAAGGACTTTTCAACACAGCTACAGAAAATCCAAGATAATAGGCTTCTTTTACTATTTTAAGTACGACCATTCAGCAGTCTCACAGACATACATTCATTGTAAGAAAAAGCGACCAATTTGTCCAAGGACAAAGAAGCCTCAGTAGACTGGAACACAATCAGGTAACAATCCTTTTTGGCTTTCCACCTACACAAGTTCACTCCTGTTCTGTGGTGAGAATTGAAGGCCATTATGGGAAATATAGGAAATACTTCATGGGGCTGGTTGAGTGAAATATTCTAGGAAATTACACTTGACTGCAAAATAAGTCCCTGAACAATTTAGTGATCATTCAGTGACATTTAGAAAGGTGTAAGGTGTTCACGTTATACAAGTCTTTGCTCCTGACACTGAAACATTTTAAAGGGTGTTTTTCTGGCTGAGAAGCTGACAGGACCATCCACTTACAGTAGCATTTATTTTTTGAAAATTCAAGGAGGGAAAATAGCTTTCTGTGATTGCTTGGTCTGTAGAAAAACGGGGTGATTTCTCAGTAAAACCGACTGTTTCAGAGCCATTAATATTCCGTCAACAGAATGGGGCAGGGGATTATGGTTTGTTCTTCAACATGCATTGTGGAATAGAGATGTTGATTCTGACCTTTTCCCTGTCCAGCGTTGCCCTTTCTTGCTGCCTGTTGCTCGGATAATGAGATCTAGGTAGTGTTACGCCTCATCCTGTCTGATCCACAGAACGTCCAAATACACAGCTTCTTTTCAACTCTGATATATGCCCTTTGAGGTCTTATTACCTGTGTGTGCTCAGTGGAAGTGTAATTTCATACTACATACTATTGCCTGAAATCCAGTGAACAATTGGAGTTCTATGCCTCTTTAAAGTTTAAACTACTCCTTGAGGATATGACTGGCTGTGTTTCATCTCATCAAAATGTTCTCTGTTGCTCAAAGTCTACGGTGCTTCAAGTGTTGCTCTTTCTTCTTTGATTGATCAAATAACCTGATGAATTTTTGCTTATTTGATTTTGGTGTCAAAATAGATACAACATGAACTGTTTATGTGTTGTAAAGCAACAGCATGTTTCATTTTCCTCCGATGTTGTGCTCTTCATTGAAACACTACTGTTGTAACTACGGACTGTTGTAACTACAGACAGCTGTAACGTTATACGTGCAATTTTTCAAGCAAATTCCTTAGCTAGCACAGCTAAACATGAAGCAAGTGCAAAAACACAAGATATAGCAAACCAGCTAACCTTCTTAATAGTGCAACAGCAAAAAGGCCTTCCCTGCATCTGCCTTACAGCTTTTTAATGTGTGAAGCTCTCACTTGCTCCTTGCCAGCATTCCCCATTGCCCAAGGCCTGGAAATCTTCTCCTCCCAGCATTCAAAGCTTGTGTGCTAGCTGTGTAAACACCTACATTCCCCAGGTGATCAAAGAAAGCAGTCCTGGCAGCAGGGCAAACTGAGATAGCAGCAGTTAGCGTTACTTTAGCAACAAGAACACTTTTCTGTCTATCAGGAAACTGTAAATGTTTGAGAACCAAGGCAGAGCAATAGGAGAGTATCAGAGGGATAGTTAGAAAACATCACCTGAATGACATAGAAGTTACATTTTGCAAAAAGTTGTCGAGAAGGGTTATTCAGACATTTTTTAAATGTAAAAGTTTTTTATACTTTTGCACATTAAAGTTTAAGTGTATCCGCCACACGTTATAGTATGCATGTTTTTTAGGTTTTTGCGCATGTAAATTGTCCGCCTGACACACATTCAGTTTAGCCTGTGTTTACTTCCGCGACATAGTGACATCACTATGTAAAGAATGCGCTTCTATTGGCTAGCACTCCAATACATTACGTGATCTAGTCTAAGGGGCGCGACATCTCTAAGCGGTTGACCAATCACAACAGAGCCAGCCAGCTAACCAATCAGAGCAGACTGGGCTCTGGTTTCAGACAGAGGGTGAAAAGAGGTGCTGCAGCACAGACAGTATGAGAGAAATAAAGAGCTTTTTGAACATTAAAGCATGGAGACACTAGAGTCACAAAATACAAATATGAACCTGAACATTTGCAAAATAGTGCCCCCTTTAACAAAATATTATCATACCAGTTAGTCACTTTTGTTGCTATTAACTCAATTAAGTGGATTAATTACAACTCGGATATTCGACAGGCTAACGCGCTACATACCACTCATTTTTGCACATCACTTTGATTCAGGGCCTAAAGTGGGACTGACAGAGACACCAATGTTCTTGGTAACATTACAATTATTTAAAAGTTATTATTTTAGGGTTAAAAGGTCACATAAATGGTGCTTTAAATGAACTCCATATCAGACTGCAGCCTTTTCTTCACCCCACACCTGTCTGCTTCTTTGTTATGTTTTCCAGCTCTGAACACCGGACCGTTCTCTCCCTGCTGGCTGCTTTCTGTTTGGTTTTTATCTACCTCCTGGTTCAAAGACGATGCTCATGGGTTTCCAAGGTTGCCCTCGCCCTCGGACTTTTGGGTGTCTACAGCTACCGAGCAGCTGTTGGCAACGTCTTGTTTCCCTGGCAACACTCGGGCCGAACTACATCCAAGTAAGTTTTTTTGTGAACCCCTATGATTGCGATTTCATTCACTGTAGCAGTCGTCAAATTGCTGTCCCCTGTTAGTGGGTTGTTTTACAGAGCACGGTGAGCGTGGAGGCTGCAGTGCTGCAAGTGTCATTAGGGACGAACACCCGCATCTCTTAAACTGTGATGATTAACTGCTGGACAGCTTTTTTTATTTCCTGACATCTAACAGCAGTAAATCTCTCGGACCTAGTGTACCAGCAAGTCCTGAATAAAAAATTCTGGCAGTGTATTAAATTAATTACACTAAAATGCGAGACACACTCTATGACGGTTGATTTAAATTGTCACTTGGTATCAGTGGTATAAACAGAATGGTACCTTTTTTATTTGTCTCCTCCAGCACAAGTCTCACCCTCCCCTTCTGTCGTCTGTAAGCGATGAAAACAAAGTCACGTTCAGTCACAACACTGAGAACAAAGCCAGCTCATTAGAGCATAGATTGAGCAGAGATAGTGAAAAGGTAATACATAGTAAAATATTGAAATAAAAGCTTGTAAATGTGCTTTTTATTTGGCTTGATAATTTGTTTTTGTTTAGTTCCCATGACAAAAATACAAAACAATGCTTTGCTCTCCATTGTTCAGAAGTTACAACAAAGTGTTAAAAGTCCAACTCTTTGGTTAAGTGCTTCCATCCAGATGAAGGTATTAAAGTCTTAATGCACGTCCTTTAGTTACCTATTCACCCTCAGTGACTGTCTTTGGTATCATTCTATAGTAACACTTTTCTGTTTTTTAATAAAAATTAAACAACTTTATTTGTATAGCGCGTTTAATTCACTAAGTGCAGCTTACAAATTAAAATCGAGAGAAATTCTATTCAGGTCAATGCTGGAACCTTTTTTCACACATAAAAACATAATATAATGATTCAAGGAATACAAGGATGTAAAAAAGGTACGATAATAAAAAAGTACAATAAAATAAATAGTGATCCAAAAGTGACAGATAGCCCTCTCAGTAAAACAAAGGAAGACGTAAGAAAAAACAAATAAATAGAATAAGATGTTAAGACACAATTTAAATAAATAAGTACAAAAATGTACACCAATAAAAAGAGGGATGTCACTACAAAAAGCATTACAAAATGCTCTGCCTGTCAACACCCTGAACTAGGATAGTAAACACGATGAATATATTATAGGTGAGGCGGGGAAAAGTCATATTAAATTGAGCGATTCTTTGACAGATCTGGGTTAGAATTGAAGAATATCCCTTAGAAGACTGAACACATTTGTAATGATGTAAAATGCTTTAACATTTAGACATTAAACTACCTGCTGTACTGCTTGGTAATAAGGATGTTGCTTTTTGTGAGAAAATAAACCTGTTCATCTCAATTCCTATATTGCTCTTGAGTTCCTCCTGCTATCTTTTAAATATAAATGCTGAGAGGAGTTTGGATTCCTTCGAGCTGCTGCTGCAGCACTGCAACCCTTGTTGTGAACACCTGAGGGAAGGAATCTCCTCTCCCAGCCCCTCAAAATTCAATCAAACACACAAGTTTCATAATCACATTCATTGTACCCGACATATGATATAACAGTTCATGCGTAGCACAACCCTCCCCTTTTGTGCACCTGAGACAATCTGTTGCGTCCTTGAACTCACCATGAATAATGCAAAATCATGTTTAACGTGGGCTTTGAAAAATGCTTGATTATCCTTGAAGATTGATGCCTCTTCGACTGCGTACCCAGAACCCTTTAGCGCAATCTATATATAGCTGTTGTTAGCAATTGTCCGAAAAGAGGGGAAATCAACAATCTTGCAGCTCCTAAGTGTGGTAATTTTTCATTCTGCAGACTGTAGCTTGGCACAGAGTTATCTCCCACTAACCCCCCGTCAGAAAAATAATGAGTGTGCTGGGCTGCACACAGTCTTCCTGTCTAGATTTCCTGACCTTCCTTCATCTACCACCGGTACCTGGCCTTCCCTAACCTTTCCTGTTCTCCTTGGCAGTCTCTCCTACTTCCTTAGCTAATTAAAATCTCAACCTCTCACCCTCACCCATTCAAAGACACCTGACTAATGCCATGCAGGGACCCTGGCTCCTTTTGACGAACTGCATGATTGACAAGGTTGCCGTTGACCCAGTCCTTCAGCTTTTTCTTCAACAAGTTGATCATTACGGCGCTCCACCTCAAGGGTGTATTTTGGACATAGTCTGTGAATTCCTTGCCAGATATCTTAGCAAAAACAAACTTTTAGTCTTGGGCAATGACAATGATATTCAGTCCATCCCAGACGCCGTACTCTGATTGCCTGGCGAGGAGAAGCTATATCTGTTTTTATACTTTAATGTAGATTAGCGTCCATTTGCTGATTTCATTCAAAGAATGTTGATGATTTCTCATGGGCTGGATATACTGTATTTATTTGATTTGGCTTATGTTAACTACAATGTAGCCGAATTTAAGTTTTTTTTCCGTGGTGGAAGAAGTACTGCTACTTAAGTCGTAATGCGTTACGGCAAATCAGAAATATATTAAAATACTGGATTAGTATTATTGATGCTTTCACGCACACTGATGAAGGTGTGTACTGCAGCCTATACTTACTTATATGTTTATTTATTTGTTGATTTGTTTTTTGTATTAGCTACTAATCTGAAAAGTTACCTCACGTGTCAAATAAATGTAGTGGAGTAAAAAGTCCAACATTTGCTTACAAAATGTAGTGGGGTAGTATAAAGAAGCATAATGAAAACACTTTAGTGCAGCACCTCTTTTCACCCTCTGTCTAAAACCAGAGCCCAGTCTGCTCTGATTGGTAAGCTCGCCGGCTCTGTTGTGGTTAAGCGCTTAGTGATGTCCCAAAGTGTTGGAGCGCTAGCCAATAGAAGGGTTAGGGTTACCTAGTGATGTCACTATGTTCCAGGTGTAAATAAAGGAGTCCAATGGAGGCGTTTCAGGCAGGGGAGGAGTGTGTGGGAGAGAAACTCCCTCTGGAGGGAACATAGGGATTTTAGCCTTTGCAGACCATACACATGCACACAAACCTACTGTATAACACACTACAGGAAAGGGAGAACCCCAAAAAGCATTAGAGGGCCCCTTTAAATACAGTATTTGTGGATGCACTTCGTAACATTCTACCATTAGTTTATTTAGATAGAATATTAAGAGCACTTTCTCTTTCTCTAGAATGAAAAAGAAACATGTTGCATTTTTCAATACCTTGTTTTTTCTTCCGCAACATAATGTAAATGTTAAAAGCAGTGTCTTTGTTGAGTTAAAGTCTGCTGTTCCTGGGTTACTCTCTCTGTAATTGTTATCAGAGTAAAGCCCCCTGACAACTCCCCGGTTCCCTCCTCGCCTTCCCTTTGTGCCAACGGCCTAATTGCGATGTTGCATCTTTCAAAATGGCTAATGGGGTTGAGAAACGCCAACGCTGCTCCCTTTAAACGGTTCAAAGAGTTACTGTGGATACAGTTTGTCTCTCTGTGTCTGTTTCTCTCCTTCTCTCTCACACACACCCTTCCTTATGGCATCATCACAAATGAACCTAAAAATAGACAGCCAGTGAACTGACAGAGCAAAGTTCTGCACCCCGCATTATTTATATTAAATATCGAGGGGATCACAGAGTATGACCCTGGCATTAATAACAATTTTAAAACAATCTTGGCGAAAGAGGCAATTGAGGTAACGAGAAAGGCTGAAGCCAATCACATTTTCTAAACAAGTGATCAAAAAGGAAATAGCTCGACATCAAAGAATCTGGCTGAAGGCCAAGTCTGTCTAAGCCTTTATACATCAGAGCCAAAGTTTCTGTCATCTCCGTCCTCTTTCTTTTGCATTTATGGCATATATTCTACCAAACATAAAGCCACAAGAGGCAACGCAAACGTCTGTTTTCATCTCTGTGTGTGCACGTGCTTCACACCTGCACAAAACATGACCCATTTTATCATGTACTACTTTATCTAGACAGCCACTGTTGTGCAGGTTCCCAATTTAAAAATATTCATGCATACCGATCTCGCTTAAAAATGGAAATGTATTCAAACTCGTCTCAAAACACCTGTGAACCCCTGCCATACACACACGCAGACAGACACAGACTCACACACCGAATTCATCTCTCAGTTTTATTACCCAAGAGGTAAACTATTTTATAACCCTGTTTCAAAGGCAATTCTGTGTTTGTTGAAAATATTATTGGTAACATTTAACAAATCCTTATTCTCTGCTGATGTTAAGCATTGTTCATAATAGAGCTTTAGTGTGTACTTTATCTTTCTTTAATATAGAAAAAAGCTTATTTATTTGTAATCTAACATAAAGCTAAAAACACTAGACATAATCACACTGCCAGCACTATAGCAAGTGTTGATCTTTTGGAAGTGTTTCTCAAAGTGGGGGGCGCAGAGGCATGACGGGGGCGCCAGAGACCAGGAGGACCTTTTTTTTTTTAAACAAAATTGTTATCACGTCGGCATGACCGGCGGAAGTTACACTTAGAAACCTTAGAAACCTATGAGGGCGCTGTAGGATACAGGTGTGTAATGTACATTTTGAGGATGGAAGGTCAATAAGCGGCATCAGGGGGGCGCTAGCGGGTGCTGCAGGTCCCCCTGAGATAGCCATAGCACCAGGGTGGGATTTTCATGGAGGCCATGACGGCCATGGCCGTCGTAGCCCCTCGGTCTGGCCGTTATGCCCCACAAATAATTGTACGTCCTACGGCCACCATGGCCTTTGGGCCCCTCACACTGTTAAAATCTTGAAGTTGCTTTAAAAGCATCAGAACAGTGGTTTCTGAACTGCATTATGCTGCGTTCACAACGGACACGATGCGAATATTCGCATTGCTCTAACCGCTGGAGTTTCACCCTGTTTCACCGCGGCTGTCAGCTGTGTTTACTCCTGTCACAGGGCGCGCTGGAGAGGGGGCGGGGCTTATATCCATGTAAATACTGTGGTGGAAACCAACTACGACAAACTTAACCTATTTTAC